TTCAGCGAAAATACGTGATGTCGTACCAAATGGGGATACATTTTGGAAATGCAAGGGTTGAGTACATGGGCATACATGGTAGGTTGGCCGGGCACCGAGGTGAGCGTAGCTAGGACCAAAAGTCTGCCTTTCTGTTCAGAAAAAATGAGGAGAAGCCAGCAGAGGTAGAGAAGACATGGCAGGTAGGGGGACACGGAAGTGTCGAGGCCCAAACGTCTGTTCACATAATTCAATTTTCGATATTTTGAATTTTCTAGAGCATTTTATTTGTACACTACTTCATTAATAATGATTTGAGCGTGAACTGGAACACGAACGACTTCTCGAAGCCTATCGCGAAAAAATGCTCCTGTACGATGATCTGACTACCTTGAGGAAAGAGGCGAGTTGTGATTAATCTTCTGCATCGGCACCCATAAAACCTGATTGATTTCAGAAATCACAGAAAGGAAAAAAATATTCGTCGTGGCGCTAGTGAATATTTCCTATTTTTACGTGTGGGTTGCATTTGTAGATAGAAAAAAGAAAATAATAATCAACAATTGTATAATACTCGTGTTCGATATGGAGTCCCTCTACGTAATGTAGCAGGTATATTCCGCGAAGATCCGGTTCCGTGACAAGGTCTTGAAAAGATCTCAAAATTCGCTCCCTTGGGTTGTCTCATGGTAAAAGTCCACGTGACATAGAAGGTTCCGTTCCAACGTAATGAGATCTAGAGTAATTGGTGGCATAAGCAAGCATCAGAGAGCAAATAGGAAACTGAGCCAACACCCTGTCATTTCCTATTTTGTCTTCTTGGAATCTGGGCATTCCACACAATGATTAACACTGCTGCACTGTAGAAGATTGCCATGACAGGACCGACCTATTAGATCGACGTTTCTAGGAACTCGTTGTCTTCAAAGATCTAGGAAAGTAATACAGAGCTCTTGATGTGTGGCGATTGGCCTAGGGCGTTTGGGCACTTGGGTAAGCCACAAATCAGAAGGTTTAGACTCTGGGGTATTACTTTCAGGTCTTTGAAGACAAAGAGCGAACGTCGACCTTATAAAGCGGTACTATCACGACAAACTTTTAAGGCAAAGCAGTGTTGAACACTGTCGTTTCTAGGCAAAAATTTTCCCCGTTCATCCTCCTCGTGACGTTCGTGTTGTGCTGTCACCGAGATTGCTTCGAGATGTTACCTAGGCAGTTTCCAATAGTTTTTATTCACTTATGGACTCTTAAGCAGCTGCTCTGTTCATTCCCCAGGCTCTTCGCGGAATGTGTCTATACGCTGCTCTCTCCACCGTAGTTCTCGCTTAGCTCCTTTCATTTCAATACATAATCGACTTTGTACACATATATCAACAAGTTTCTTATTACTATGTACCGGTGACAGATATCGGGCCTTGTCGATTTGTTGGGTTATCATTCAGGTTTCAATAAAATTGTTTCGTTCTCTCCTAATCACTTCCATCGTGGTACTGTCTCTGAAAGAAACATCTGATATGTCATTACAAGCCGTACCGCTAATGCAGAAATGAACAAGACCTGGGCTTTTTTCCTTCATCGGCAATCATCCAAAGAACACATCACTATCTTTGCGCATTTGCAGAAGTCTCTACGAATGTTCCTCAGCTACAGATACGGTTTCGCCTTCAAACTTACGGTCGTTCTTCGGTTATCAGCTTCATCCAGTGGAATGTGAAGGAACTCCACATATTCTGCTTCTATTACGCATTACAGCAGCATGTGGTGGAATAGGCGAAACGAAATGTGGAGGTAGAAACATATTTCGAAGAGAAAACCATGCCGAACAGTTGCTACGGTCATCGACGGGCTCATCAGCAACGTACACAAGACGCGCCATAAACTGAATACCAATTTCACAATGAGGTAGTACACGAAAGCGTAAGCAACCGGAAAAGCATGAAGTCAGGGTGCTGCTGAGAATATTGTCATCAGCTCAAACAAATTTCAAAAAAAAGTTACGCCCATCAACATACGCCATATATTTGGTTTTCTTTCTGGAATGTAGTAGCGTTTTATGGCAGTACCCAAAAAACATGAAAATGTGGTGTCTGGGAACCACAAGGATTTGTGTAAGTGATGAGATGATCCAAGAATACATCTAGGATCAGGGATAATCTCGCAGCTGCAGACGCATCCACTTCACAATCTTTCCCGAAGCCCCCACGAAACTTGCGAAATCACTTTTTGCTGTATTACACTATTTTCTCACTGCGGCTGTGTAGGACCCCCTTTTCGTCTCGCGTCTTCTCATTGTCTGACCACCTCAACGCTTAATTCTTCCGCGACAGAAACTGAGGAGTAGCTGTTCTTATAGAACCTGAGGATACAGTTTTATTTTTGTAGAAGTGCTTAAGATAACTATGAATCTGCTCAATTTATGTATAACGGTGCAGGCATGAACCATTTTACACTTGTGTGCTCATACGACATTACCAACATTTACCTTGAACAGCTGAAGGTTTTGTAGAACACCTGTAGACAGCCGTAGCAGATGAGACGGCCGGCCGGCGGACTATGAAAGCAGCCATTGAGATGCGCGCGGCAAATTGCGTGGCGAAGATCGTAACTATTTCAACGACTTTAGCGCCTATCATTGGGGCCCAAATTCGAAGTTGAATAGATTAGAAGGATCATCTGACCCTGATAAACTACTCTACTTAGAGTTTGTGCCCCGAAAATTGGCGTCAGAGTCATTCAAATCGTCACGACCTT